GATCTCACCCCACGCCCCCTCTGCTCCTCCCCCCTGTGCCACCATCATCGTGAACATCACATCATAGTCATCATCGCATTCACACTCATCACCATCGACCATTCACCATCACACTTCCATCACCATCTCACACACTCACTCATACACACCATCACCACCACCATGATCAGCATTATCATCCGCATCAGTCTGAACATCATCGTTATCATCATCATCATCATCATCATCAGCAGCATCAGTAGCATCATCATCACCATTTCACACTTGCTCACGCATTCATGAACTTTCGTTCGCACACACCCACACGCACACTCACACATTCACCTTGAGGAAGTCTCAAGCGGGAGGCTCGTCTGTGAGCGAATTGTGAGGAAGTCTCAGGCGGGAGCCCCCTTCCGATGGGGTTGCCATATCAAGTTAGCAGTCCGAGCGGGTCATCCAGATCCTGTAGCTGTCATCACTTCTGTGGCCCCGAGGCGTGGATCTCGAGGAATCCCTTGAGCGTGAAATTCGTCTGTGGGTGAATTGAAAGGACATCTTAGGCGGGACCCCCCCTCCTCATGCTTGATGTTAAACCCGAGCGGGTCATCCATATCCTGTATTTGTCGTCACTTTGTGGGTCCTGAGGCGTGGATCTGGAGGAAGTCTCGAATGCGAGCCTCGTCGGTGAGTGATTTGTGCGGGAATCTGGAGCCGGATCACGTTCGTAATCCGAGTGGGTCGTCCATATCTTGAAACCGTCGTCAATCTGGGGCTCCTGAGGCGTGGATCTGGAGGACATCTCGAGCGGGAGCCTCGTCTGTGAGGGAAGTGTGAGAAAGTCTCAGACGGGAGCCCCTCCCCTTATGGGGCCGCCAGATCATGTTAGCAATCCGAGCGGGCCATCCAGATCTTGTAAGTGTCGTCATACTGGGGGTTCTGAGGTGAGCGGGAGCTTCGTCTGTAAGTGAGTGACTTGTGAGGACGTCTCAGCCAGGAGCCCCCTGCTGGTAGGGCCACCAGATCACGTCAGCAACTCGAGCGAGTCATCCAGATGTTGTAACAATCGCCTCTTATCTGGTTGAAGAGTCTTGAGCGTGAGCTTCGTCTGTGAGTTAACAGTGGGGAAGTCTCACGCGGCCCCCCCCCTTACGTCTGGAGCCAACTGATCATGTCAGTAATTTGAGCGGGTCATCCAAATATTGTAATTGCATCACTTTTGGGCTCCTGAGGCGTGGATATGGAAGAAGTCTTGGGCGCGAGCTTCCTCTGTGAGTGAATGGTAGGGTAATTTAAAGCGGGAGCCCATTTCCTTATGGGGTCCGCAAGTCGGCTGCGGCACGACAAGTGTGCGCCACGCGAGCTGATTTGCCCACGCTTCCTACCGCAGGGCAGATTGATGCAAGTGCGCGGCGCCGAGGAGTCTCTTATCTACCAGGATTTCGCCGAGCTGCTGCTACAGGTTGTTGAAGGCACTCACGACGACGGCCAGGTCGAGGCGCGGGCGCGGAGCTTGCCATGTTCAGGCGCAGCGAGCAGAACCTCACGTGGCAAAGCTCGGGGCCGCGCGCCGTACGCCGCTCGGGGTTCACCCTGCAACACGCGTCCTACCTCGCTTCCACGCTGCTGCAGGGTCAGACTCTGCGCGGGCATGTCGGACGAGCAGCGCTGGCTGCACCCCTAGCGCCATGTTCCTCCGCGCCGAGCGCACGCGGAACGCGCTGATCCTGCGGCTGCCCACGCTTTAGTTTCTGGAGCGCGGGCCGCCGGCGCCCTTTTTCAGAAGGCGCTCGGGAAGTTTGTCAAGCGAGCGGCGGACTCCAGAGCTGAAGCCGAGCAGATCGCGCAGAGCTGGGCTTCGCGCCGCCCCTAGCTTGAGCGCGGCAGCGCCCCGCTCACAGCCTGCGGGGTTGCCCCAACGGCTTGCTTTCGCGCGCCGGCGGCCCGCGGGTTTGCCCCAACGGCGCGGCACGCAAGGTTGGCCCGACGGTTTCGCGATCTGGTCGTTCGAGGACGCGCCCCTGCCCGCCGAAGCGGCGACGGTGCTGGGGAAAATCGACGCGCGCGCCATTGCAATAGGAGCGGGGGAGGTGGCGGGGGGAGGCGAAGAGCAGGAGGGCGAGGGAGAAGCGAAGCAGGGAGCAGGAGGAGGGCTCGCACCAGGGGGGGGGGGGAAATGGCGCAGAGGAAACAGGAAGATAATTCCCGCAATCGCAGGAACGACGCTGAGGTTCACTTCCAGACGAGCCGGAAGGATGATCATGCGGGGTCCGCCGTCGGAATCAATGATATTAGAAGCGCCAGTGGGTGAAACGTGTCACCCCGCTGGTGGTTGATACGCGTCGTCCAGGGGAACTTTGGAATTCAAAAAAGTGGTCACGCGTAGGATGTGGCATCTAGTGGCGTGGAAATTCGCCGGCCCAACGGGCCAGGGCGTGCTAAGATCTCCGGTAACAGTATTAACAGTATTTCTAGTTCGCGCGCGCGGGGCGGCCCCTGGGGGTCCCCCGGCGAAAAGTACCCCGACCAACGCCCGGCCGCCGCCCGACCAAGTCTACTCAGAGATGGTTTTCCTTCTGGGTGCGGCCTCTCAGGCTCCCCAGAGCGCGCTCAGAGTGCCCCAAGAGGCCCCCAAGACTGCCCAAGAGGCCCCCGAGACGCCCCAAGAGCGCTCGAAGACGCCGAAGATGACCCCAAGACGGCCCAAAAGGCCCCCAAGACAGCCCAAGAGGCCTCCAAGACGCCCCAAGAGCCTTCCAAGAGGCCTCCGAAGAGAGCCCCAAGAGGCCAAAATCGTTGATTTTCATTGGTTTTTTCGATGTTTTTTGTGTTCTGGCTTTTTCGGCTTCCGGACGCTCCAAGACGGCCCAAGAGGCCCCCAAGACCGCTCCAAGACGGCCCACGAAGCTCCCAAGACGGCGCCGAAACGACCCAAGAGAGCCCTCAAGACGGCCCAAGTGCCGCCCAAGACGGACCAAGAGGCCCCAAGACGGGCCCAAGAGGGACTCAGGAGGGATACCGAGAACTCAAAAATGGAGCCCTCCGTCCCAGAAGGCGCCCAGGAGGTCCCAAAGAGGCCCCAAGAGGCCTCCAAGAGGCCCCAAGATGTCGCCAAGAGGCCCCAGGAGACTCCCAGGCCAAAAGGCCCCAGAAGGCTGCGCCCCCGAACCCAGGGAACTGCTTCACCATCAAAACTCCCCACGCAACGCGTCCGAACGACACCCGCCCCCAAGAGCGCAACATGGGCAACGAACACACAGACAAAAACCAGCGATGCCATATCACGGGCCGGCGGAATGAGCGAAGCGATTCAATAATCATCATTCGCGGTCCAGCTTTCGAAATTCAGGTGGCCATGCGTGTGAGTCGATACGGCAATCGCCAATGGGTGACCCGATTTTGTTGTGCGTTGCCATGTAACGAGTGCTTACGAACACAAGCTGACATATCATGCTGCGCCCCAGGGAGCGCGGGTAACAACTGGCGTTTTCAATTCCTTTTCCCCGCCCATCCGTATAAGACCTATACGACCACCCTTCGGGTGATAAGGAGGTTGTGGGGAGGGGGGAGGGGGGAAACCGACATCTGACTCAATCGATTTCACTATCGATATCACCCAACGGGACACCACGGGACACTTGTCGATGTCAGTATCGATCTCACTCGACGGGCCACCACGGGACACCTCTCGATCTCACTTTTGGTCGCACTATCGATCTCATTATCGATCTCATTCAACGGGACACCATAGGACACCACGGGACACCGCAGGACACCCCGGGACACCACATCGATTTCACGGCCGATTTCACGATCAATCTCACTATCAATCTCACCCAACGGGACATCACGAGTCACCACGGGACACCTGTCAATCTCAGTAGCGATATCATTATCGATACCATTTTTGGGACCACAGGAAACTTCGGAGCACCACATCGATCTCATTATCGATGTCACGATGGACCTCACTCAACGGGACACCGCGGGACACCTCTCGATCTTATTATCGATTTCGCGATCGATGTCACCATCGACCTCACTCAACGGGACACCATAGGACACCACAGGACACCCCGGGACATCACATCGAGCTCACAATCGATTTCATTATCGATCTCACCATCGATCTCATTCAACGGGACACCACGGAACACCATGGGACACCTGCCGATCTCACTATCGATGCTTTTTTGGGGGACAACACGGGACACCTCGGGGTCACCACATCGATTGCAGTATCGATGTCACTATCGATATCATTATTGATCTCACTTAACGAGACACCACGGCATCACTATACGCCTCTCTTGGGCTGCCCCGCGCGCGATAGTCCCTAGCTTCGGCTCGGCGGGACGGATACCTTCACGGGTCCCTGCGTTCCAAGGAGCAACGCGGTTGGGAATGAGCCCACTAAAACCCCTTGGACTCCATCTACAACCGCCATGAGCGGGATATAAGGCTGCCTTCTATTATGGGACAAATTTCTAGGTACCACGAGGGGTGACATGCCACCCTGCAGGATATGTCAGAGTCATTGGGTCGAGGCCGAGGCAGTCCCGGGCTGGGACTTCTGCGCTGCGCATGGCGCGGCCACTCAGAGCGGCGTCAGCATTTCGATCGATAGTGGTATGGGGGAGTTCGCTTATTGCGGCCTCACTGATAGCGCGCAGGTTGCCCACACGACCCTCACCCAGGAGACAGCGAACATGCGGATCTCTGATCCACGCTTGGTTGCGCCACCCCCGGGTCTTCCACTTCCCACATCCTGGTCTCCCGAAGTGGCCGCACACGTCGAGAACACGTCATGCCTCTGACGCCGGAGAACATGCGGGCGCGCACCGCCACTGTTCCTTGATGCCGGAGTCGCGGACCTGAGCCCAAGGAGTCTTGTCGGGTCCCGGGAGGGTCTTTGGGAAGGGATGCGTGCAGTGGGCTTTCGTCCGGATGCCCACCTTCCATGGGAACGTTTGGGTATCTGTTGGGATGAGGGGCCTCTCCCCGATGCGAATGTCGTCCAGGCCAGCGTCCGCGTAGGTCAGCAGGTCCTGTTGCTCATGGCAGCCTCGGTGACAGACGACGCGGCCCAAGTTGAGTACCAGGACGCAGCGAGTATTTTGCTCCAGGATGGCACTCGTTGCCGAGAGTTGCTCCCAGAACTTCGCAGGGCAAGGATCAAGCGAGCACCAGCGCGGGTGATCCGTTGCCGTGAGCTCGAGTACCAGTTCCTGCGCCACCTGCACGAGATGCACTTCACGGAGGCAGGAGATCTCATCGCGACGCAGGCGTCCGACTTGCAGGGGTCAGTTGGCAAACTGCAGATCCGATGATCCGGGTCCTCGAGCCTCCACAGGTGCGACGGTTGCACCAGCAGCTTACCAAGGATGCGATGGGCGGCGCGGCGAGCCTAGACACGCTGGCAGACCGATGGGTCCTGTGGGGCCCCGACGAGGCCAGCCAACTGGGCCGCATGGCAGCATCCCTGAGGAGGCACCGGTCCAAAGTCCCTTCTGCGAACGTGGCTCTGCTTACAGTGCGCCCCGTGTTACTTGGCCGGCCGTCGCCTGCTGCCATGGCGGATGTTTGGGCTTCGCCGATGCTTCAGGGGGAGGTGAGCAAGTTTCTTCATAGGTCCGTACACGAGGAGAAGGAGAAGGGCAATGTCGAGGAGGGGAGGAGGAGGAGGAGGCGGAGGGGAGGGGGACGGGGAGAGGGAGGAGGGGGAGGAGAGGGAGGAAGAGGAGGAGGAGGAGGAGGAGGAGGAGGAGGAGGAGGAGGAGGTGGAGGAGGAGGAGGAGGAGGATGAGCAGGAAGAGGAGGAGGAGGAGGGGAGGAGGAGAAGGGAGGAGAAGGGCAGAGAAAGAGTCCGCTCCGCCGCCGCCCGCGCGGCCGCCCAGCCCTCGAGCGCCAGCCAGCCTGCCTCCCCGCCCGCGGCGCCGCGTTTCTGCTCGGGCGGCACCGCCCGCCCGCCCGCCCGCGCGCGCCGCCGTGGGCCGCCGTGGGCCAGCCGGCCCACGGCAGGCGTCGGCTACGCGCAGGTCAAGCAGTGGCGGCGCTCGCCTAGAGGCCCACCAGATGCTCTAAGAACCTGTTGTGGTCTGCACGAAGTGTTCTCAGAACATGTCTGGCTGGGACTGTCTTGTTCTGACACATCGGGCCTATGCTCTAAGAGCATCGTTCTGTTCGCAGAACACGTCTGGGTTCTAAGGACATGTCGTGATAGACCTGTAGGGATGCCGGGACGGTCGGTCCCTGCTCAATCGTTACGGGCTCACACGGGTCCCCCCAGCCCTGGCCTTTGCGTTTGGATTTGTCCAGGCCTCCTAGAGATGGGGTCCGAGCAGATGGGGTCGGAGGATCGCGCCGCACCGCCGAGGCAGCGCCGAAGCATCGCCGGTGCTGCCCGATGTGGAGCCTGATGTTCTCCACTCCGATGGCGCCGATGCATCGCCGACGTCGCCGGTGCCTCGCTGATGCATCGGCGATGCATCGCCGATGTATCGCCGATTTCGGCGCGATCCTCCGACCTCATCTGCTCGGACCCGGAGGCCTCTACCCCAGCACTGGCCTGTGCGCTTTGACTTGGCGTACCTGCGCCCGCCCAAAGCAGCGCCCCAAAGGTCGTTCTTGCCCAGGGTCACTCTGGCGTGCAGTCGGAGGCAGGCAGCTCTGGTATCTGTGCTATGGCCAGACAGAGGTATGTCGGGTCGGCGAGGGTACCCAAATGTTCTTCGTGTTTGTCGGATGTTCTAAGAGGTCGACCTAAACGGTGTTTTTGTTTCGGCTTCATGCGTCATTTTCGTTTCGACTTCGTTTTGCAGCAAAGGCAGATTGGAGACAATTCGAAGGAAAACGAAAACAAAACGAAAACGAAAAACATTGTTCAAGGCGATCCCTGGATGTTCTTGTGCATCCTGGGGGACGGTGCCCTCGAACGTTCTTCAGCTTGACTGGCGGAGGGCCTCATGCTCTTGAAGGATGTGTTTCTGTCGTGGGTCCGGCCGTAGTGGAAACCCGTACCAAGAAGCACTCTGCTCGTCTCCAGGGTGCCCTGGGCTTCCTGGGTCTCGATGGTTTCGCTGTGGAAGGCGTGACGTTCCCATACCAGAAATCAATGGACGCCCTGGGGTCTCAGGGTTGGGTTTCTTGTGGACGGTTTCTTGTGGTCGAGTTCCTGCTGTACTCGGGGAGGACGGGGCTGGGGGGGGGGGGGGCGGGAAGGGAGGGTCCGAGACGAAGCCATGCATGCATGCATGCATGCATGCATGCATACATACACACATGCGTACACATACATGCATATCTGCATATATGCATACATACACACATGCGTATATACATACATATATATATACATATGTATACATTCACATACATGCATACATCCATCCATGCATACATACATACATACACACATACATGCATGTATGCATGCATACATGTATACATACATACATACATACATGCATGCATGCATGCATGCATGCATACATACATACACACACATATATATATATACATACATTTATATATACATACATACATACATACATACATACATACATACATACATACATACATACACACATACACACACGCATACATACATACATACATACATGCATACATACATACATACATACATACATGTATACATACATACATACATACATACATACGTACAAACATACATACATACATTCATGCATGCATACACACATACATACATACATACATGCATGCAGGCATGCATGCATGTATGCATGCATACCTACATGCATACATACATACATACATGTAAACATGCATACACGCATACATGCATACACAGATGCATGTGTGCATATGATTGTACATGCGTGTATATATAGTATGTGTTTACATATATGTATGTGTGTATGCGTGTGTACATGTATATGTGTATATATATGGGGGAACATACGCGTTTATACGCATATGTGTATACACAGTATAGGCCATCCAAGCCATCCCCACGCCGTTTTCTGAATGTCCATGTTTCCGTGCGGTTCCCGAAAGATCCGTCCATTGCAAGCTCCATAAATGTTGAGGGTATCGCCTCCGTCTCGAAGAAGACACCCTGTACTCAACAAAAAATTACTCCGACGGAAGAACCCCACATAAGAATCCTCTGGGCGAATCTGGAAAAAGCCATCACCGTCGTCCTCGTGGTTGGTGAGGCGTCCTGGCTGTCTCTTCTGCGTATATTTCCTCTCGCCTTGGCGCGGGCCCCCCTTCCACTCCTTACGTTGTCCCCATCCTCGCCCCCCTGTTTGTTCCGCGCCCCGCCACCTCCTCCCCTTCCTGTTGCATGAGCGCGCATGTCGATGTTCCTCGGCGCCGTCGCCGCCACGGCCAGCACAGGCGCGTTCTCTACTGGTCACGTCGCGCAGCCGTTGGGACAACCCCGCGGGCCAGGCTGTCGGGACAACCCCGCGAGCCGTTGGCGCGCAAGACCAAGCCGTTGGGACAACCCCGCGGGCTTCGAGCGAGGCGCAGCCGCGCTCAGGCGGAAGGCAGCACGAAGCCCAGCTCTGCCGCGAGCTGCTTCGCCTCCGCCCTGGACAAAACCGCTCTCTTGTCGAACTCCAGGAGCGCCTTCCGCAGGGACGCCGGCGGCCCGCACTCCAGGAACTCTCGCGGCGGCGGCCGCAGGATCAGCATGTTCCGCATGCACGTGGCGCGGGAGAACATGACGTAGAGGTGCAGCCACCACTGCTCGTCCGACATGCCCGTGCGGCCAGCGTCCTCGTCTCTCGCGCAGTCGATGGTGACGCCCTTGCGCAGCGTCTGGCCCTGCGACAGCGTGGAGGTCAGGTAGGACGCGTGCGTCAGGGTGAACCCCGAGCGGCGCACGCTGTGCGCCCCCGAGCTCTGCCATGTGAACTCCCTTTCGCTGGGCCTGAACATCAGCAAGCTCCGCGCCCGCGCCTCGATCTCCCGCCTGAGACTTCCTCGCAATTCACTCACAGACGAGGCTCCCGCCTGAGACTTCCTCCAATTCAGGCTTGAGGAGCCCAAAAGTGACGACAGTTACAGGGTTCCGATGACCCGCTCGGATTACCAACATGATCTGCGGGCCCCATAGGGAGGGGGCTCCCGCCTGAGACTTCCTCACAATTCACTCACAGACGAGGCTCCCGCCTGAGACTTCCTCCAATTCAGGCTTGAGGAGCCCAAAAGTGACGACAGTTACACGATGACCCGCTCGGATTACCAACATGATCTGCGGGCCCCATAGGGAGAGAGCTCCCGCCTGAGCCTTCCTCCCAATTCACTCACAGACGAGGTTCCCGCCTGAGACTTCCTCCAAATTCAGGCTTGAGGAGCCCAAAAGTGACGACAGTTACAGGATCCCGATGACCCGCTCGGATTACCAACATGATCTGCGGGCCCCATAGGGAGGGAGCTCCCGCCTCAGACTTCCTCCCAATTCACTCACAGACGAGGCTTCCGCCTGAGGCCTCCTCCATTTTAAGGCCTGGGGAGCTCAAAAGTGACGACAGTTACAGGATCCCGATGACCCGTTCGGATTACCAACATGATCTGCGGGCCCCATAGGGAAGGGGGCTTCCGCCTGAGACTTCCTCACAAATTACTCAACGATGATGAGGATGAGGATGATGAGTGGTGGTGAAGATGAGTGGTGAAGAGGATGATGATTGATTGTGAGTGGTGGTGGCGATGATGATGTTTGAATGAGGATGATGCCGATGATGATGATGATGATGATGATGATGATGATGATGTTCGTGAGCGTGTGAGAGAATGCGAGTGATGATGATGATGATGATGATGATGAGTATGTGAGTGACTAAGCATGTGAGAGAGCATCATCGATGATGCTGGTGAGGTTGATGATGAGAGAGCGTGAGTGAGTGTGAGTGGGTGTGTGTGTGTGTTCCTGTTCCTGCGCGGGGTGTCCAGAGAAAACAAGAACCCCACTTTGGATGTGGGGAATAAGTCATCAACAGGCTCCCGCTGCAAGAGAGAATTCATAAGGAGTCTATTCACATCCCGATCCGCAGGCCCGCCGCCCGCCCGCCGCCCGCCCGCCCGCCTTCCGTGCAGCACGCACTACCTTGTATTCAACAGCTTCCGTCTCCAAGACAATTTCCTGTAGTCAACAGCCTCCTTCTCCAAGACAGCACCCAGTACTCAACAGGCTTCCGCTGCAAGGGATAATCTTTAAGGAGCCTATACAAATCCCGACCCGCCCGCCCGCACGCCGCCGCCCGCCCGCCCGCCGCCCGCCCGCCCGCCTGCAGTATAGCATGCACCACCTTGTACTCAACAGCCTCCGACGCCAAGACAGCACCCTATAGTCAACAGCCTCCGTCTCCAACACAACACCCAGTACTCAACGGGCTTCCGCTGCAAGGGAGAATTCATAAGGAGTCGATTACATTCCCGACCCGCCCGCCCTGCGCCCGCCCCCCGGCCGCCTGCCCGTCCGCCGCCCGCCCGCCCGCCTTCATGTAGCACGCACCACCCTGTACTCAATAGCCTCCGTCTCCAAGACAACACCCAGTACTCAACAGGCTTCCGCTGCACGGGAGAATCCTGAAGGAGTCTATTACATTCCCGACCTGCCCGCCGCCCGCCCGCCCGTCCGTCCGCCGCCCGCCCGCCCGCCTGAGTTTCGTGTACCACGCACCACCCTGTACTCAATAGCCTCCGTCTCCAAGGCAACACCTTGCATTCAACAACCCCCGTCTCCAAGACAACATAAAGTATTCAACAGCCTCCCGCTGCAAGAGAGATCCTTTAAGAATTCGACTCAAATCTCGACCCGCCTGCCGCCCGCCCGCCCGCCGCCCGCCCGCCCAGCCGCCTCTCCGTTCATCACCTCATCGTTTTCCTCTCCGTACACCTCACCCGCGCCACTCGTGCACAGGAAAACAGGATTCTCGCCGTTGGACAACACATCGGAGGGTCTTGAATGGACTAAACCGATACATATATATATATATATATATATATGTGTGTACATATCATTATAGATATGTATATATATCTATAGATACACCTGTATATATATATATATATATATATATATATATATATATATATATATAAATATGTGTATTCATATGTATATGTGTATGTCGGCGGTGCCCCGTGGCATGACCCCCCCCTCCCACCTTTTCCGGGAGCGTTATATTGGGCGCACCAGGTGCCGCCGACGACCTGGAACCCCCTTTCCCACGCCCTTTCCTGGGGGATCTCTTACCGGACGCACCGGCGGACCAGGGATCCCTCTCAATGTGGGAGTGGGGCGGGGGGCTCCAGTAAGAGTTGGCGGGGTCAGTGGAAGTGGAGGGTTGGGTCTATGGGGCGTGGGCGCGAGGTAGGCAGGTGACAGGTTGAGAGACACGTGAATAAGAAGAAACGCCCATGGGCTACCCACAGCCTGCGTCTGGGGCTGGCGGTCCTTCACGATGCGTGTCGGAGCTGACGGGCGCGCCATGCACGGGGGCGAAACGGATGGGTGCAGAATAGTTTGGGCGAAGCGGCCCGCAGGCGACGCTGTCTGGGCGAAGGAAGAGGCGGCCCGTGGGTACATCGATTTTTCTCTGGGCCCATGGCGGGGGTTAGAGGGCGGAGGGGGAGGAGACAGAGGGTGGAAGGGGGAAACACGCAACGAAGAAGAAGAAGAAAAGTAAGAAGAAGAAGAAGAAGGAGAAAAAAAAAGTGGGTAAGAGGAGGTTTGGGGTGGTTTGGCGGTGTTGAAAAGCGTTCGATTGTATCCACCCTGCGCGGACCACCCTCAGACACCGCCGCCAGGCGCCATGTCCACGCCGCAGATCGAGGGGGCGAAGCCGTCAGCCACCCAGCGGAACGACACGGCGGCGGCGATGACGATGAAGGCGACGGTGATGAGGGCGGCCACGACGACCGCCACCACCACAACCAAGACGGCAGCGAGGGCGAGGGCGTGGGCGGCGGCGTTGACGACGACGACGGCGACGACGACGACGACAACAACGACGGAGAGGAGGAAGTGGATGAAAGGGTGAGTGCGCAACGCTTTGGCACGCTCGAGGGACAGTTGGGGACTTCGGGGATGTCAATATGGAGTCAGGCAGTACCTCCGTTTCCCTTCCTTCCTTGCTCTTGCGCGCACGCGTGTTGGCAGGCGGGAGCGCAACAACCGTGAACCGGTTCGGTTCGGTTAGGTTCCGAAGTGCGTCTAGTTCGCTTCGGTTCGGTTCGGTGTCGGAAGTTTCCGGCTCGGTTCGGTTCGGTTCGTTGTTGTGAGGATTGCCGCCCAGTTCGGCCCAGTTCGCCATGCGTTTAGTTCCGGTTTGGCCCGGTTCGCAATGAGGCGCGATCTACCTCTTTTTCTCCTCGTTCTCCTCCTCCTCCTCCTCTTCGTCCTCCTCCCCCTCTTCCTCCTCCTCCTCCTCCTCCTCCTCCTCCTCCTGCTCCTCCTCCTCCTCCTCCTCCTCTTCCTCCTCCTCCCTCTCCTACCCCTACCCCTCCCCCAGAGGAGGAGGAGGAGGAGGAGGAGGAGGAGGAGGAGGAGGAGGTATGTCCTCCTCCCTCCTCTCCCTCCCTCCCTCCTCGTGGGCAAGCAGAACCGCGGCAGCATGTGCCTCCGCTGGCCGTCGCTGGTGGGGCCGCCGCCGCTGCGGCTGGCCGCCGCTGCTGGCCGCCACTGGCCGCCGCCGCCGCCGCTGGCCGCGCCACGACGACCCCGTGACTTCCCCCTCTGGGCCCCCGGGACTTACAGTCGGGGCCCTGAAGAATGAACCCTTTTCGTTGGGGAGGGGCTCCGTGTTCCTTAATTGTTTCGCAGCTTGCCTTGGATTTTCCTTTGGTTTTCGATATACGAAATCGAAGTTCTACTTATGGAAAATTAGGGGCCTCGTTCCTTATTTAGGGTTCCTTCTGTCAACGCCTCGACTGTACCCAAACGGCTCCGGGGCGTAATTTTTTCGAGGCCCCGAGGCCCCAGGATCGGGGGCGGCCAAGAGGGGGGTGATGGCTAGGGGGGGGATATCATGGCGGGGGCCATGATGTTTTCCCAGATCATGGGCCATGAGATATTTCCCCAGCCGTGATTTGCGCCCCCCCCCTCTCGGACACCCCCCTCCTGGCCGCCCCCGACAGGACTTGCCCCAGAACCTCTGAGAAGCATTCGTAGACGCCTGCGGTCGCTTCCCAGGAGCTTCCGATCGCCTCCGGGGAGCCCCCTGCCTGCTAGGAGGGCCGCGTACCTCGCTCAAGCCCCTGTCTGCGCGCCATCAGCCTGTGGCCTGAAAGGATGCCCGTCGGTCGCTGAAAGCAGGAATGGGACGCCCAGATCCCAACCTACTTTGAGCACCTTCCTAGGTGCCCTGAGCTGCACCCGATGTGCTGTCATGGCACGGCATATTCGATTCGACTTCTTGGGTCTAGGTCGGAGAGCTTGTTCGTGGCTGAGGCTCACCTTGGCCAGGAAAGCTACTTGTAAGTCGGACATGTCCCTATACAGGAGGAAAATCCATAAACCGTCCAAAAATAGTCGGGGGACGATGTTTGGAGTATGTTTGACAACGTTTTAATATGTTGGAACATGTTTTATTCTCCTCCAAGACCTGCCTGTAGGAGGACATGCCCGACCCAAGGCAACCTTCGCGGCTCATTCAGCGCTCATTATGGATAGTACGGAGGCTGCACCCCAGGGGCGCCACGATGCCGAACACGTGCGGCCGCCTCGGCCTCCCCTCAAGTGGTTCCACTGGGCCGTGGGTGGCAGGGCAAGCGTTCCCTCCTTGGGCTGCATTTGGACGATCCCCAGGGCCCAGAAAGAGATGATGTGTTGTTTCGACCTCTGGCGCGCAGCGTTCCTTACGCGGGCCAGAACCTCCACCCTCCCACCCCCGGGCAACGGTAATGGTGGCACGCAGGGGAGGGGGGTGTTTGGACCTTACGACCCCGCCCGCATGCTGGTGATCGCGCGCCAACTGGCGATCGCAGCGCACCCAGGCCCCGACGTGTTCCGTACCCCGCCCAGGCGCTACCGTTACCCAGGGACCCACCCACCCCCGGGTAACGACCATTACCAGAAATGGTCGTAAACCACCTACATTTCTAGTGACGAGCGTTGTCTCTTCCTGCCTTCAGCAGGCGGCGGACGGAAGCCCAATCTACTTTGAGCGTTCCTCCCTCGTGTTTTTGACCACTTCTGTCGACCGGCGGGTGCTTGAGTTTCTGTTTTCGCGTTGCGCGGCAGCACAAGCGTTAAGATCGGGCATGTCCCTCTACAGGAAGAGTGTTCGAGAATAGTAAAACAGTAGACTGGTGACGGTTTCTCGTGCTCTTCTGACTATGCTTGACTATTGTTTGACTATGTGTTCTTGCTAACGCCTTACCGCTGGTGCCGCCGACCCTGGAGGCATCGGCCCTCGACGGAAATGGGAGGGAGAGGGCGGGCCATGGGCCCAGGGAGGGTGGTATTCTGACCCAGGACCTCCCCTGGGACCCCCTTCAGGACCCCCCCCTTTCGATTTCTCGTGCTCGTCTGACCTATGCTTGACTCTTGTTTGACTATGTTTTGCGTTTCTTCCAAACTCCGCCTATAGGAGGACTTGCCCGACCTAACACAAGGGCGCCCTCGAGGGCGCGAAGTTATTCGCGCTTCGCGGTTCGGCTCCGATTCCTCCTCATCCTCCTCTTCTCCCCTGGGAGGCGGCGCGAGAGCGCGAAGTTATTCGCGCTTCGCGCAGCGCGAAGCGCGAAATTGGGAGCCCTTGCTAGCACAGGCGGGGTTCCTTCGGGCGGCAGGAGGTTGCCAGGCAGAGCCGGCCCGCGCAGCCGTGGGAGGTCCCGGAGGCTGCACACGTGCAGTCCTCGGGAGGGGAAGAGGCGCTCAGGCACAAACAATTGGTTTCGGGCGGAGAGAACGATGCACATGCATCGAGTCTGGCCAGGCCCATCTTCTTGGGCTCAGGATCGGTGCATATGCTTTCTTGGCCAAGGCAGGAGGGCACAGGTACCGATCCTGGGCTCAGGATGGGCCTGGCCAGAACAGGTGTATGTGCATAGTTCTCTTTCCTCGATGGTCGACTCCCAGGAAGATCTGGGAAGATATGGGAAGCGGGGGGGGGAAGACGAAAACCGCGAAAATATTGGAGCGTGTGGGGAATCTTGGGATCCGTGCGTACTTGTCACTATTCGTGTGTCCCTGAGCCCCTTTCAAATCCGCCTGTAGGCCCCGGGCTATAGCTGGGTCTGCTCATTGCCTGAGCTGCCAGATGTTCGTCGCTGCTTGGCAGAATGTGTAGCGGCTGCTGGTCCTGGGCTAAGTTTGCAGCTGCCCCCCCACCAAAAAAATGGCCCCAGTGCGACCCTACCCAGAAGTTGGAGCCCCTAGGAAAGCAGCATTGGTTGCTATGCTATGCTATGCTGCGCTATGCTATGCTATGCTATGCTGCGCTGTGCTATGCTATGCTAAGCTATGCAATGTCATGCTGCGTTGTGCTATGCTATGATAAGCTATGCTATGATATGCTAAGCTGCGCTATGAAAAATGTTATGTTATGCTATGATATGTTATGCTGCGCTATGCTATGCTATGCTATGATATGATTGGCTATGCTATGCTATGGTATGCAATGCGAATGCAGCGCTGCGCTATACAAAGCAAAGCTAAGCTAACCCTCTAGGCAGAGCCTAGGTAGGGAATTACACCCATGCTATGCTATGCTATGCTATGCTGCGCTGTGCTCTGCTGTGCTGCGCTATGCTATGCTATGCTATGCTATGCTATGCTGGGCTATGCTATGATATGCTGTGCAGCGCTATGCTACGCTATGCTGTGCTCTGCTATGCTAAAGCTCGGCGAAGCTAAGATGAAGGTAAGCTAAGCTAAGATAAAACTGAGGTAAGATGAAGCTAAGCTAAGGTAAGATGGAATAAGCTAAGCTAAGATGAGATAAGCAACGCGAAGCTAAGGGAACGTCACTGGGGGAACCGCGGGGCGGATGCCGGGGGAACCGCCCGGGGCGTGCCCCATCTCCCGGCCCTTCAAGCACACAGAGTAAGAACCTTTCTAGGCAGAGCCTAGGTAGGGAAAAAGAAAAGAAAAGAGGAAAGGCCAGGAACCATGAAGGAACAAAGGATTGCATAAACATTATCCGTCGGAGCTCAGCGCGGATTTCTTGAATCGGCGCTGGACCCTCTTCCCTGGCGCGCGGAGCGCACCATGGGCGGCGCTGGAGGCGCCGTCAGGGGGCCCAGAGCCGATCCAAGGAATCCGAGCGGAGCTCCGAAAGTTTGTGCTTTTATGTATTTTTGTCTTGCTCCTCCAAGCCAGTGAGGTCCTTCCTGTCGCGGATGGGCTCGAAGGTCACCACCCTCGTCGCGAGCAACCTGAAGCCGGCGCGCACACCGAGTGGGGAGCGGGGTGGGCGTCGATCCGGCATGCTCCCAGGAGGAGGGAGGGAGTTGGAGCATCGAGGTTCGAGGAGGAGCAGGAGGGGGAGACGAATCTTCAGTTGGGCATGTCCCTCTACAGGGAGAATATCCCAGAATAAGGCAAGAAATCGGTAACGATTTGTCGTGCTCTTTTGATTACTTGTTAGTTATTGTTTGACTGTTGTTTTCTAAACCATCCTGTGGTGTTGGGTCCTCGTTTTGAAACAACGGTCCCCGCGTTCTCCTCTTCCTCCTCCTCCTTCTCCTCATTATCCTTTTCCTTGGCTCAAGACCCGTGTACGCAAGGCCCGTGTACTCAAAACCCGCGCACAGTACTCTCAGTTTACGTGCGCTTGATTGTTTGTCCGCTCGCAAACATCCAAAAGCATGAAGCCAGGAGACACCCGGAAGGCATCCGCGCATACGGGCTTTTTTCCACAGGATAAGAAAGCGAAGAAGGAGGATCACGGGGAAGATATACTCCATGACGCCAAGGAGGTGACTGACGGAGGTGAAAAGCGCCCAGAAGACGACGACATCAGCGATGAAAACGAGAAGGCCGATGAGGAAGAAGATCCAGATAACGATGTTAAGATCATGCAGATGATGATGAAGAAAATGATGAGGATGATGAGGAGCGTTCAGAAGGGAATGCAGGATGTGATTGAAGAAGTGGGAGGGGCAAAGGTCCTGGCACAGCAAGCCATGACGTCGGCAGGCAGTGCGATGCAGTCGGTTGAGGAAGTAAAAGAGGAAATTGCAACCATGAAGGACAGCGGTTACCAAAGATAGCCTCCCGAAACTGGTGCAGAACATCGTAAAAGAAGCAGGCGCAGGAAGTATGCCAGCTAAGCGTGGCCGCCCAGGGAATATGCAAAGAGTGAGTTGGAGAGGATTTGCCAAAAAAGGGAAGGGGAAATGAGATGTGCACTTCGGTAAACGATCCAGGACGATCCATTTGGGAGATTTCCCAGAAGACACGAAAGATGATATTTTCAAGGATTCATTGAAAAAAGTGGACTAGATCTGCAAATGATGGTTTTGAGGAGGTGTATGCTGTCGGCAAGTGTTCTACACGTGTCGCAATGCGCTTCAAAACTCAAGTGTCCATGCGGGCATACATGCAAAACCATCGCCGACAGCTTCAGCACGAAGTCTCGGGGACGAAAATTTATGCCAATCCAGATTCGACGCGCGACCCAACCCCAGAGAAGCCGAAGGCCGTCCGAAAAGTGGCACGGGTACTCATTGATAAGAATGGCCGGGACGATAAACAGATCAAGGAAGCCAGTGCCACCAGCTATCCCAAAGGCCGGGCGTGGTGGAATGACCGCCGAGTGGCCGAATGTCCCGAAGAAGAGGGATGATGAAATTTCTCGGAGCGGCGGCCGCGTACCAGGAAGATATCGAGAAATTGATGGGCCCAGAATAGGGCACAGAGGTGGCGAAGAGGATTTGGACAGAGAGTGGAGGTCATGGAGGTGGAAGGGGGGAGCTGCGGCACATAGACGGGGACGTGTCAAAGTCAGATTGCAAAGTACCAGTACAAGTACGAATCTCTATATCGGGATTTTTAGGAGGAGGAGGTGGACTTCCCATTCAATGTGATTTGTTGGAATGCTTGCGGCATGGCAGAGGCCGCGATTGACGATATGGGGAGCATGATGGGAGACGTGCATTGGGGCGCATTGTTGTTGCTGGAGGGCCCATTCATAAATGAAGACACGCACGCTAACGGGCACGGGGTGATTTCTGGAGCGCGCCAGGACTGGAACCGGAGTGCCACGATTCTTTTGCACCGAACATGGACGCAGGAAGATTTTTCGGCATCGTTTCATGCTGTGGGAAGGCAGGTTGCGCATCTCGACGCGGGCATGGGACCGTTCAAGCTCCGACTTGCCAGTGCACTGTCCGCACGGCGAACGTTCAGACGATGATTTTGGAGGATATCGCGGAAAAGGAAAGGATAGCAGGATGCACGAATGTTGCGGGACTGGGCGCCAACGCCGCGGTCGGTGCAAGGGCGGAGCGCGACGATATTGATATCGCGGGTGATTTTGGACGGGGTCAGAGGCGCCGGAGAGGGGGCGCGTCTATTACAGCGCGGTTGCGCGGAGAACGGTTGCAGCTTTTCGCGGGCACCCGGGATTCTGATCGGAGGGCCCACAAGCAGTGGAGCAGTTAAGCGCTGAAGCAGATCGATTTTCTCTTGGTCGATGAGATGGGGGGCGATACTTTTCACCGCTGGGGGATCTCGCATCGTCTGGAAGGGAAGTCAGACCGTCCAACTTTCACTGGGCCGTTCACATGATGTAAAAGGCCGCAGCGCCCAGGGAGAAAGCGCCAGTTGCAGTTGAATTGGAAGGACAGATTAGATGAGACCGGCGCCCCGAAAGAGTTCCACGGCAAATTGGATGAATCCACGGCGGCGTGGAGTAGAGGAGTAGACCCAACACCCACGATAGTGGAGGCCGCTCGCGACGCGGGGGAAGATCGTCCGAGGTCCACGGGCAAGCGCTCGCACTGCGAAGACGTCACCGATTTGTTCGAAAGGCGCCGGAGAGAGGCAGATCCAGAGAGGACGGGCGCTTTCGAAAGACCTGCGGAGGGCATTGAGGAGGGAACGCAGACAGAAGCAGGATTTCGACGTGGAGGAGCTGTCAACGAAGGGCGGCGGTGCGACGCGCCTGAGAAGGCCAGAAGAGAAGCACAGGGGGGCGCAGGGAACTGCGAGCATCAGGGATGCCAGCGGGAAGTCGCGCGCGGACGGAGCCTCCATATGCGGTGTGTTTGCATTATTATATGGAGAGTTGTATAAGGAATTTGGCGATAGGAAGCGCGCTTGCAAGAGAGACTCCGGGGGGCGCAGTGGCAGTGGGAGAACCGGGGAGAGCATAACGAAAATTGAAGGCCGGGAAGACAGGGGCAGGCGACGGTTTGGCGGCGAAAATGGCGAAGACGGATCACCCAGGGCCCGCGCAAACCATTGCCGACTTTTTCACGGACGTTCAACGGGAGAGGACGTTGCCGCCAGTAGAGTGGAGACGGATGAGATTTCGCATTCTTATCTATATAGGGGATCCGACAGTGCCGAGAAATTACCGGCCCAGCGCAGTGATGCTTGTTACGCGCAAGTTTTTCAGCGCGGTCTTGCACAACCGAATTTCGCCGCGCGTCGAGAGGGTTTTTTTTTGGGGGGGGCGCAGTTCGGATTCAGACCTGGGCGTGGATGCGCAGACGCAGCGCAGTTCACGCGCGCGGCGGCAGAGAAGTCGCTGGAGCGGGGGGAGAGATTTGGGTGGCCACGCTGGACGTCGAAAGGACATTCGACAGAGTTCACCATTCGGCGTTGTTCGATTCGCTTCTTGATAAAGGTATTGGTGTTCAGGTGGTCGGTGCACTCCGCTGCTCACATTTTGATGCGAAACGATATGTCGCGCCATGGCTCGGCGCAACCAGTCGGGCATTCGTCGTGGAGAGGTGAGTTAAGCAAGGTGATCCGCTATCTCCTGCGCCGTTTGATTTGGTCGTGGGCGGCGCTCTCCGCGAAGCCAACAGCATCCGGAAGAAGAGAGGATGCGGCGCGAACGTGGGGCAGGAGGTTTGCGGGGGGCGCTTGACTCACATCGCATTTGCAGGTGACCAGACGCTGGTGGCCCGCTCTTGGCATTCAATGATACGCACGCTCGCCATACTCCGGAGTGCGCTCAACAGCAGAGGTTCGCTCCGTCACTCAACGAAGCGTCGGCCCCAGACCACCGGGGGGGATTTCCAGAGAGGGGGCAGTGTAATGGAGGAGGGCTTCTGCACTGGCGCATTGCCGCACGGAGCGCGCCTAGATCTCTCGGGAGCTAAGTTGTCTCTGCAAGACCCGACGGGCAGTGAAATTGCACGCCGCACTGCAACAGGATGGTCGAAATTCTGGTATTTTGAAGAGGCTGTTAACCAGGAAGCATTTTTCATTGAACGAGCGTTTGAGGCTCGTCAGCAGCATTGCGGCGGGGGTAATTCCGCGGGGAGCTGAGTCATGGACGCCGAGAGTGGAGGAATGGAGAAGACTGCGAGCCACGCAAAATGCCACGTGGAGGAGAATTGTTTGCAGCTGGAGAAGAGGGGGAAGCTTGGGTGGCTTGGGCGCAAAGAGCAGCCCGTCAAGCCAGACGGCTCGCGCCCGACACGCAGGGGTGAAGGATTGGGCCCGCGAGCACGTCATGAAGAAGTGGAAGTGGGCAGGGCGCGTTGCGCGCATGCCGGTTACGGAATGGTGCGGTCTAGTGACATGTTGGCGTGATTCGTCGTGGCAGGCAGCCAACCGCAGATGGCGACGTCCAGAGAGACCTTCTAGACGACCGTGGACCAAATTTGAGCATGCACGTAGGAGGTTTTGCACGGATGGAGGCCACGAAGAATGGAAACAAAAAACACAAGATCGCGAGGCATGGCGCGAATTAGCTCAAATTTTCGCCACTTGGGCGAACGCGCTGTTATCCAGAGTGCTACTGGCCTGGTTGTATTTTAGTACCTGTCCTGCCCCGCGCGGGCCTTTTTTCCAGACAGGGTGTCGCTGCTCGTTCCTCCTCCTCCTCCTCCTCCTCCTCCTCCTCCTCCTCCTCATCATCATCATCATCATCAGCATCAGCATCATCATCATCATCATCATCATCATCATCATCATCCCCCCTCCTCCCTCCTCCATCACCATCGTCATCATCATCATCACCCCTTTCAGCACACCGCTCACGTGTTTCGTGGCCCCACAGGGAGCTCCACCGAAGGCCCCAGTAGCTGCATTCGCTTTCGCGGCGCTCCACCCCCCAGTTGCTGTGTTCGCTTTTGCGGCGCATGCGGTTCCACTCCCCATTTCGGTTCACACGCTTCGTGGCCCCATGGGGAAGTCCACCGAAGGCCCCAGTGGCTGTGTTCGCTTTTGCGGCGCATGCGGTTCCACCCCCCGTTTCGGCACA